TTTCTTTCTTTCTTTCTTTCTTTCTTTCTTTCTTTCTTTCTTTCTTTCTTTCCTTCTTTCTTTCTTCCTTTCTGATTAAGTCTTCTTGCACAAAATGACTAACATGGTTGTACATTTACCTTTACATACATGTACATTATGTATAATCTATATCAGCTTGCTTACCATCTCAGGGAGAGGAGAGGGAAGGGAGGGAGGGATAGACTTTGGAACTCAAAACTTAAAAAAAATTAAAAATTGATATTTGAGGGGAAATTGAGGGGAAATAAAATGTTATTTAAAAAATAACAAATTACATGTAGAGTATTCCACCTAATAATTTAATAACCCTGTAGTGAGGCTAAGGGGTGTGGTTGGATATATAGTTGAGAAGAGAGTTTAGGACTTCTTTCCTTTCAGTCAATGTTTCTGCTACCCTGTGTTGTCTGTCTCTCTGGAAAAATATTGTTACTTTCAGTTGTCTGATTTCTTAGGTCTTTTGCATAAAATAAACCTACAGGACTCCACTTCCCAAGACCAGTAGCAGCTGCTTTCTTGACAACACTGTGTGAGACCGTCCCCATTTTCAACTCTGCCTCTGTCAGATATAGCAGGAACAGAACAGAAGGAACAGAATTCTTGCATAAAGTAAGGGCTTAATAAAGGTTTGTTGAGTTACATGAGTGGCACTTGCTCTGAATTCCATCTTGTTTCTTTTCTTCCCTAGCCACCTCCTTGGAAGAAGACATTGTTTTTTGTTTTTTTGTTTTTTGTTTTTTGTTTTTACCTCTGCCTTGCCCTGTCCTGCTCTGCTCCCAAATTCATTGCATCTCTCATTTCTGACACAACTTCTGGTTCTCCACAAAGTTGCAGATGCTTCAGAGTAGAATTTTTCACACTGTGGGGATCTAAGTGGTAGAAAGGAAACTCCAACCCAGGTCTCTTGGGAGTCTGTGATCTTTCCACTACACCACCTGGGGCTGCACGGATGTACTGTCTCTGTGGTTCCTTTAGGGGCTAGTAGTTTTTGACCTTATGAAAACAAAGAGTATTGCCTTCTGAGACCTTAAACAAAGATTTCAGACTATGACTCTTTAATTAACTAAAGAAAATTTTCTGCTTTTGCCAGTCCCCAGCTCTCTATCCTCCATCTTCATTGACCAGGTAAGGGTTAAGCTGTCCTTACCCCTTTGAGTGCTGATTTACCTAGAGCAGGGGTGGGGAACCTGTGGCCTTCAGCCATACATGACCTTCTAGGTTCTGAAGGGCAGCCTTCTGACCAAATCCAAATTTTACAGAACAAATATTTGTTCCCCACCCTTGGCCTAGAGGCACATAAATGATTTTCCTAGATCAGGACAGATGTGAATTGTTTTAAAGTGAGGGAGGGGGGATTATACACTAAAGGCATCAAGCTTTTGCATATGTGAAAGTGGTTTAGTAATACAAATAAATTATACGGAATATAACTGAACCCCAGTCTGGTACCAGGGAGAGTTGGAACAATGTTTTTGAGAGACAACCCAAAGCTAGAAGAATATGACAAATAATAAGATGAAGAGATTAAGGAAATCAAACTGTTTTCTTTTAGAAAAAGAAAGAGGAAAGAAGAGGGAAGTCAATCAAAAGGGAGGAAATGCTAATTAGCACCAAAGAAGTATTCTTTACTTCCCTTTTTTAACAAAGATAGCCACCTGTCCTCTGAGAAACTGCTTCCAAACCTTTGTCCTCATGTACACATTTCTGTTTCAAAGATCAGAGGCAAACCTGTTTGCTACTGAAAGAACATTTCCTTCCCAATCTCACTTGGACCTTTTCCTCATGCTCCTGTGGGTACCGTTGCTGGTAATTGGTAAGTAGGATTTTCAGAGTGGGATCTGGGCTATGACAGAAACAAAGCCCTCTGCAACCTGAGACCTCTGAGTCAATCTCAGAGAAGAAATTCTTGCCCTGGACAGCCTGGGATAGTAAAATAATAGTTCATATTTCTTTCTTTTTGCTTTTTATTCAAACAAGTTTAACAACTATTGGTTTTACATTACAGGGATTTTTTTAGGAAAACTTTCAATTCCCCACTCTTCCCTGCTCCAGATTGAACTCTTTTTTATTTCAAAAAAAAAATTAAGCTACTACAAGTGATGAAAGACCAAATTTGACAATATATTCAATATTCTGCCCTTGTCCCCTGCACCTCACCATAAGGAGGGTGGTATGTTTTATGATCCATCCTCTAGAATAATTATTAGGTTTTTGGTTATGCAGGTCTCAGCTTCCTGCTAGTAATATTTTGTTTTATTTAATTTTTTTCAGGCAATTGGGGTTAGGTGACTTGCCCGGGGTCACACAGCTAGTACGTGTCAAGTGTTTGGTCTGAGGCCAGATTTGAACTCAGGCCCTCCTGACTTCAGGGCTGGCGCTCTATCTACTGCACCACCTAGCTGCCCCCTGCTAGTAATATTTTGAACAAACAATGTGTATCAGTCTTTGGGTTCAGTGTATTTCACTCTGCATAAATTCGTGCAAATTTTCCTATGTTTCTCTAACAATAATAACAGCTAACATTTATATAGTACCTACTATATGCCAGGTATAGGACATATAGTAGGTATATACAGGCCAGGTGTAATAGGGCAGGTAGGTGGCACAGTGGATAGAGTGCCAGGCATCAGGATGACTCACCTTCATGAGTTCAAAACTGGCCTCAGATACTTCCTAGCTGTGTGACCCTAGGCAAGTCATTTAACCCTGTTTGTCTCAGTTTCCTCATCTGAAAAATGAGCTTAAGAAGGAAATGGAAAATCACCTTGATATCTTTGCCAAGACAACCCTCAAATGAGGTCATGAAGGATAGGAGACACGACTGAAATGACTGAACAACAATACTATATTTCAGGTACTGTGCTAAGCACTTCACAATTATTATCTCATTTGACTTTTACAACCCTAGGAGGTAGGTGCTGTTATTATCCCTGTTTTACAATAGAGGACACTGAGGAAAAGAGTGATTAAGTGACTTGCCTAGAGTCACCCAACTGTGTGTGTGTCTGAAGCTAGATTTGAACCTAAATCCTGTTGACTCCAGGCCTAGTGCTCTATCCATTGTACCACCTTGCTCTAAACTCATATTCATCATTTCTTTTTTTATTTCTTTTTCTGTCACATTTTAAACTCTAAACCGTCTCCCTCACTCACTCACCCTGCACTAGAGAAGGCTGCCATTTAACACAGATATGTATAAATATACGTAAAACCATACTATACATGCTTCTATTTATCAGTTCTTTCTCTGGAGGTGGGTAGCATCTTCATTCATAATAGATCCTTTGTAGAAATTAATCATTTCTTAATGAATCATAATATTCCATTATACTCATATCTTGGACCATAAGCTGAATGTACTCTCAGAAGCCACCTAGCCCCACCTCCTCATTTTTTACATGCAGAAACTGAGACCCATTGAAGTGACTTGACCAAAATTACCCAGGTAATAAGTATCAGAGATAGGATTTGAATCCAAGACCTCTGACTCCAGAGCTTGTGCTCTTTCCACTAAACCATTCTCCCTTATGGCATAGTTTATTTCATCCTTCCTTAATCAACGGACAATGTTTCTTTGTTTTTTGTTTTTACCTCTGCCTTGCCCTGCCCTGCTCTGCTCCCAAATTCATTGCATCTCTCTTATTTCTGACACAACTTCTGGTTCTCCACAAAGTTGCAGATGCTTAAGAGCAGAGTTTTTCACACTGTGGGGATCTAAGTGGTAGAAAGGAAACTCCAACCCAGGTCTCTTGGGAGTCTTACTTTATGCAAGAATTCTGTTCCTTCTGTTCTGTTCCTGCTATATCTGACAGAGGCAGAGTTGAAAATGGGGACAGTCTCACACACTGTTGTCAAGAAAGCAGCTGCTACTGGTCTTGGGAAGTGGAGTCCTGTAGGTTTATTTTATGCAAAAGACCTAAGAAATCAGACAACTGAAAGTAACAATATTTTTCCAGAGAGACAGACAACGCAGGGTAGCAGAAACATTGACTGAAAGGAAAGAAGTCCTAAACTCTATTCTCAACTATATATCCAACCACACCCCTTAGCCTCACTACAGGGTTATTAAATTGTTAGGTGGAATACTCTACATATAATTTGTTATTTTTTAAATAATATTTTATTTCCCCTCAAATATCAATGGACTTTGTTTCTTGTTCTTGGCCATAATTATTTTGGAATATATTTAGGGTGTTTGTTTCTGGATTTTTTCCAACTTTAGAAAATATACCCCTAGTGAGATTACTGGGTAAAAAAGTATAAACAATGTAGTAACTTTTTTGATATAATTTCCAAACCAATGACCAGAATGGTTGTACAAAGTCACAACTCCACCCACAGGCATGTAATCCTTTCTTCCCATGGCTCTGCCAAAATTAACTATTCATTTTTGTTACCTTTGCTACTCTGATGGGTGAAATGAAACCTCAGATAATTTGCCTTACTATTAGAGATTTAAAGCATGTTTTGCTTTGTAATTTTTATCATTTATCATTTGCAATTCTTCTTTAGAGAGCTTTCGGCCACTTATATATTGGGTAGTGACTTGGTCTAATATACTTCTGCCGATTCCTTATATAGCTTTGAGATCAGACTATAATGAGTGATAGTTGATACATATATTTTCCTACTTGACAGTTCTTCTTATTATATTTTTATCTTATTTTTGTAAGAAATTTTTAAATTTCATGTAATCAAAACTATCTTTTTCATCTTTTATGGTCACCTCCATCCCTTATTTAGTTGAGAAATATGCCTTTAATCATTGATATGAAAGGTAATTCATCCTGCTAGCCATTGTAACTTATGATAATACATTTTATATTCAGGCCACATATTCATTTGGAGCTTATTATGGTTTGTGACATGAGATGATAATCTAAATCGCTCTTTTTTGGGGTAGTGACCCCATTTGGGTTTTTGTTTTTGTTTTGGAGTTTTATTGGTGGGGGTGGGGGGGCGGCAAAGATCCTAGAGTGGTTTGCCATTTCCTTCTCCAACTCATTTTACAGATGAGGAAACCAAGGCAAATAGTGTTAAATGCCTTGTCCGGGGTCACACAGATAGCAAATGTCTGAGGCTGGATTTGAACACATGAAGTGTCTTCGTGATTACAACGCCCAGCACTTTATCTACTGTGCCACTTAGCTGCCCTAGTCTAAATCTAATTTTTGCCTGTGTTTCAGTTTTCCAAACAGTTCAAAAAAGGAATCCTTCCACCAGTAATTTTTATACTTGGGTATATAAAAAACAGGCTACTATTATCAATTGTTTCTGGTTTTTATCAAATCTATCCCACTAATCTAGTTTTCTATTTTTTTAACTTAGGATAAATAGTTTTAATGATTATTACGTGATAATATAGCTTGAAGTCTGATAAATGTTCTCTTTCTTCATACTTTTCATCATCATTTCCAGACTCTAGACCTTTTGTTCATCCAAAGAACTTTGTTGTTATTTTGTTTAATTCAACAAAATATATTCTTGGTAGTTTGAAGAGTATAAATATATAAATAAAAATGTAAATTCATTTAGTATATTATAATTTCCATTATATTGACCCTAGTTTGGAGAAAAAAACTGTTCTCCTGAGTATATAATATCCTGCATCCTCAGCAGAGTTCATTGCAAGACCCTGTGTCTCAGCCCCTTCCCAATTCTATGGCAACAGTTCTTTATGCCGTTCCTTTTTGTTGATGGGACCAAACACCCACTCCTCCCTCTATGACATTCCTCTTCCTTCCTCTATATTGTATCCCTGCTTTCCTACCTCCTCAAAAACAGGGAGAGAAATCTAAAACTTCCCACTTAACTATCCACTAGAATCCTGATAAATCAGGCCTACATAACATACCGCCTTCAGACCACTTGCAGCCCACCAAAGGATTTCAGGCAGCTCATGAAAAATGTAGAGGATGTAAAAGAAAATAAAGATGTAATGTGTGCTTTGCTTATGCCCTGCTTAACCCTCCTTCCACTCGTCACTAGTGTGCCCATCATGTAACTTGGCAGGTGGGTTGCCACTGAGCACTTTCTCCTGTTTGTCATGTGACCTGTGGCAATCAACCATCAGTCTGTCTCTAGTCTGAGAAAAGCAAGAGTCGTATCTCTTCACTGTGTTTTTGGTCGTTACTAAATGTAAACAGTAAAAAAACCTGAAAACTGTATCAAAACTTGTACCACTTAGCAAAGTAATTTTTTTAACATTAATGTGATCTCATGATAAATAAAAATCTTAATTAGTAAGTGTAATTAATTTATATTAATTGAAATTTCCCTTTTTTAATATGATTTATTTGCAAAAATAGTTTAATCATTAATTATACCTTTACTTGGAAAGTGAGCTGCTAAAAACTTATCTGCAGCCTGAAGAAGTTTAGCCTATTTTAATTTTGGGTCCTACCTACTGCCAAGTTGTGCAGGTCCGTCTTAAGTCTTTTTCTAAATGCTTCTGTCCCACCCTCTTCCTCTGATACTCAAGAAAAATCTTTCTCTTGTTCAACCATCACTAATGAAGAGTGAGATGTTTTTATCCCTGAAATATTTATCTACCTTTCTCCGATTCTCTTCCTGATCATTCCCTATTTTCGTCCTCTCCCAAGATTCTTTGGTCTTCATACTCTTTGCTTTCTCAATATCTCTTAGATATTGTGAAAGATTTTTTTTAAAGAAACCAAAAAACAACCAAAAACTTTCCTCCATTTCTACACTCATCACCTTAATTGGGCCTAGTCACATGAAAATAGGCATTTCTTTTTTGGCAGTCTTTAATCACTGTCTAAATTGTTTAAGCTTTAGTTTCTGTTTGGTTGGTTTGCACATAAAATTCCTTGCTCACCTCTGGTTTTTGGTCTGTTTGTCTTTTTTTAAATAATGACTCAAATGTTTCCTTTTTGCTAAAAATCCACATATATGTACGTGTGTATGTATGTGTGTATGTGTGTAATTATACAGCTCAGCTTTTAAAGATGTTATTATTTTGGGGGTATAAAACAATCTTATTTGCTTTTTGTAACATCATATTCCAAAATATTCTCTTTTTTGGTTTGGTTTGGTTTGTTTTTTTTTTTTATTTTCATTTTTGTTACTCAGGATCAACTATGTGCTATTCTAATTGATTAGCCTTGAAATATAAAAGTTTTTTTTTCTTTTTCTGGAAGCCTGTAAAATTTATTGCTTAGTGTTGTATTTCTAAAAGTTGACTATGAAGTTTCTTGGTGAATTAAAATTGTGATTTCTTTCTGTTGGCATTCTGGAAATTCTCTCCATTGGTACTTTGCCATTTGCTTTCTGAATTTCTGGGAAATCTTCCTATGTGAGTTTCTTGATTAGGGTATTAAATTTTCTTTTTCATCACTTTTCCAAAAGACTTACAGTCTTTTGATTAGTTGTTTATATCCTATCTTCAAATTCAATATTCTTATTTTGTATAATACTCAATATTCTTCCAATCTATTGTCTTTTAGGAAATTTTTTCAACTCAGTTTCCTTTTATTTCTGAATGTAATTCCCATTGTCATTTTCCTTTTTGAGAAAATGTAATGCTTTAGAGAGTCACCTCTGTCTTTTATTCTAAATTCTCTATTTTCTTGTTAAACTGGTTAATTTCTCCATTGAGAACTTTAATCTCTTTCCTTATTTCTTTGATTTTTTTTTACTTAATTCTTTGCTCTTCTGAGCCATTTTGGAGATTACTGAATTAAAGAGCAAGTAATTAATGGCCTATGAGATGGTCTTCAGTTATTTCTCATGTGTGACTAACACAGTGGAAGTTTCTTCATTTTCCCTCTTCCCATTGTTTGTTTTTTTGTTATATCATTGGGCATTATTCTTGTGTATCTGAGGTAGTTAGGTAGGAGCTGAGACCAAGTTTATTTCTTACTCCACCATCTATACAAGATTCTTCAATAGTTAACATTTCTATATAGTTAATATTTAAATTAAATATAATTTCATAATTAATTGATTAAATATTAATTTAAAATTTAATTAAATAACAATTAATCATTTCTATAGAGTTAATATATGTGCAGGTCCTACAAGCATTATTATCATCCTCAGGGTGCAGATCAGGAAATCGAGGCTCAGACAGGTAAAGTATTTATCCCAAGTCACACAGCTAGTACATATCAGAGGCAGGATGTGTACCCAGATGTTCTGACTCCTTAAGTCAGAACTTCTTTCATTCCACTATACAGACACTCACAGAGGGGGGATAATTTAATCCAGGAGTGTATTAGATCCAGCTCAACCTGGCTTTCTAGAACTAACTGTTAAATTTCTTGTGTGAGCATTTGCACCTCAGAATTTGGCAAATATCAGGGATTGATTTTTTTTTTGCTTTATTGATTGTCTAGACTTAAGAAAGTGGTGGAGAAAATGTTAATGATGCAAATTAAACTTAAAAGTTTGTGGGTAGCATTTTTTTCCACAGAGCCATTTGTTAAATATTTATCAGAATGTCCCTGCTTTGACCTCTCCTTTAGATTTAAGACCCATATATTAATATGCTATTGGTGAAGTACTCAGTTGATCCAACAATTCTATAAAACTATTTGGAATTATGTTAGCAAAATGACTAAACTGTTCATACCCTTCAACCCAACAATACCACTACTGTGCACATACTCCAAGGTGATCAAAGATATAAGTGCCACATGTACCAAAATATTTACAATAAATAGTTTGGGAAATGTCTGTAACTTCAAAAATTATAGTATATAATGTAATTGAATATTACTATGTGTTATAGAAATGGTATTTTGTTTATGTTGACTGTGTTGGTTTCCTTTTTTGGGGGGGTAGGGGGAGCCATGTTCTAAGGATTTGATTGGTCCAGAAGACAAAGGCTTGAATGAATGGCAGGATTTCATTGCCACCTGAAGCACAAAGAGCCATGTTTTATAGCAAAGAACAGTTAAGCAAAAGATAATATAGTATGATTTCATCTGCTTTCTCTCAGAATTTCAAACCAGAAATGAATGGAAGTCAAAATTTTTTTGGCCACCTACCAAGGATAAAGAGCTGTGCTCCCTCCATGCCATAGGGAGTAAAAAGCTTAATGAAGCAATCCCAAACACAGCACTGATACAAGAGTCAGCCCAAGGCTGTGTAGGCTAAGTGTCAAACTCCTGATACAGGTAATAAATGCAATGAGACTGGGGGAAGGCTATCTTCCATTTGGTTTATAACAGTCAGAGAAGACTTTCTGGGTAAAGCAAGACTTGAACAGTTCATTGTAGAATGAGTAGGAATGGCTTAGATGAGCAAGAGGGTGACAAGCATTCTAGCAATGTCACCTGGAGGCGACCAGTGGCACAATGTATAGACTGCTGGACTGGGAGGCAGGAGTCCTGCCTCAGGCACCTACTAGGTCTGTGACCCTAGGTAAACCACTTAACATCTTTCAGCCTCTGTAAAATGCGGACAATAATAGCTCCTACCTCCAAGGGCGGTTGTGAGAATCAAACAGGCTAACATACATAAAGTGCTTTGCAAACCATAAAGTGTTATAAAATGCTAGCTATGACAATGATGATGATAATGAAGATGGTGATGAAGAGGAAACTGTGAACAATGGTCTCATAATTGAAATGCACAAGGAAGAACATCCTCTTTCCCCTCCTTGAGCTTCCTGTCATCCTTGTCTTCCTTCTTCTCCCTTTCTCTTCTTCCTCTTTTTCCTCTTCTTTTTCTTTGCCGGAACATAAGACTTATTAAATGAAAAGTTTTGAGAAATCCTACCCTGGATAATCTTTGTCTCTTGACTCTCTTACAGCTCCTGTCTGTGGACAATCTGGTGAGTTACATTTTGTTTTTCATGGTGTCCAAATAACTGTTCATTGGCAAGTTCAGGATCATAGAACCGGAAGCCATGACATTAATTTCTTTTCTTCAGATCAACATTTCCAGGGATGTTGCAACTATCCAGTTTCCCCTCTGCTTTCCTGAAAGAGAGGTATATTGAAAGATACATTGGGCATGAGAGATATTAGACTTGGGTTCTAAACCCAACTATGCCATTCACAACATGCCAAGGATAGATAGATAGATAGATAGATAGATAGATAGATAGATAGATAGATAGATA